TGGTAGCTGAACCACTTGAAGCTCCGCAGCTCATCCAGCAGTCGATCACCAATAGCGGATCCATCACCGAGGAAGCACTTGCGCAGATAGAACCACGCATACGATCCGTTGCCTCTCTTGTTAACGGGGACGTTGGCGAGGTAGGCAGCGGCTTCGCCCTGGCAGACCGACACAAGAAGACGCCACACGGCCTTCACCTTCTTCCAGTCGTCCTCAGTAAGGGTGGGACCCTCCTCTGATGGTTTCTTGATGGCGTCTGCTGCAGGTTCTGTCTCGGGCAGGAGGTTTGCGTAGTCTTCTGAGAGCAGGCTGCTCACACGAAGCTGCCAGCGGTAGTAGTCGAGCTCATCTCCATCGAGGACGGGCACAGAGAGCTTGACGTCATCGAGAGTGACCTCGCAGAGGAGTTGAGCAGCGGCGAGAAGCTGACTCTCGGTCATCGCTGTAGTCCAGTTCTTGCCGCGCCCATGTTGAAGTTGTTGTGTGGAGAGCAGAGTCCCACCACGAGCGTTGATAAAAGAGCGGCAGAGAGGTCCAACATACACAAGCAGGCATGCAAACACGAAGGCGAACACGAAAATGCACGTGGCCTTGGCGAACTGGGCTATCGGCGACCCACGATGACATGCAGGCTGGCTGGGCTTATCGGCGACCCACTTACATGAAGGCAGAGGCAGGAAGACAGGCAGGAAAGTCAGTCAACGCTCAAGTGTGGCAAAACAGTAGGTAAAGCACTATGACTCGTAAAACACATGCCAAAATTCCAACACGATCAAAGCACTCAGCAATGAAGCCCTCATCAGCCTCGCCAACGACACTGGGGTATGCAGGCGTAGGCTGACACGCAACGCGACATTCTCCGCACTGATTGGTGTGTCGTCATGTGTATGGTGATCAGCTTCTTGAGGGCTTCTTGCGGCTCACCGGATCGACAAATTCCTTCGTCACGAAGCACCTCTTTCGAACACCTCTTCATCCACCCCGCAAGCATTATGAAGCTCGTCTTGGTTCTCCTCATTCTTCTAGCCGTCCTTCAGCCGTCGGTGCAACAGTGTGTCCCTTGCCCTGGTTCCGGATGTTCTCCTCCTTACTGCCTACCATCGGGTGCCTGCTGCCGCCCTACGCGTCGTGAACTCTTGCGGACCCAAGAGGACATGCCGAAAGGAGCAGTGGCTCACAAGGGTAATGCAGAAGTGCCCTGTGAACTTGCTGGTGCTGTGACCGGCATTGAGCGGTCTGATACTGCCGCAGAATAGGTAAGCGAACACAGAGCAGTGGTCTGCCGACATAGTGCCCAGTCGTTCCCGACGGTTGCTACTTGCTGTTGTCCTTCAGGCGTCCGGACGCGAAGTGCAGGACAAATCGTGCTCTTTCAGCATCTCCACAAGAGGGGGGCAGGTCTGGCAAGGAGGCTTCGTAGTAGCCCCTTCTTGTAGTGCCGCTTATGTACTTTGTTACTGTCAATCTGAGACCTCCCTCCTTCTGTCGCATAGTGCGCATGGTGATATGGGGTTACGTTGTTTTCGTGATTTCTTGGTTCATACAGAATGTTCCTTTTTTTCGTCTCACTGCATGTGCCTTCGTCGTTCCGACTTGTACGTATGTAGACGCTCGGCATGTAGGCATGATGGGTCTTCTACGCGATAAGGAGTACAACAACTGTACGAAAGATACGGATGACGACAACTGTCTTTTCTTGGCGGCTTTCTCTTAGTCATCCAGACGTACTCGCTTTCTTTTGCTCTCGACATCATATGATTGGGCATGTGTACTACTGAGTGCTTTTCGATAGTCTTATGGTCTCAAGTCGATTGCGACTCTCAACAGTGCTGCTCTCAAGAGTACGGTTGCGTTAATAGGATGGAAAGAGGAGTGCTTTGCTTTCATCTCTTTCACCGCCCTCCAATTCTGCATCCACTGTCGTTTTGTCAAGCCGCGTACGAGCGTTGCTGGAATCTTCATTGCACTTCTCATCCGTGCCGTCTTTTTGAAGCACTGCACCCTCTGTTTCTCTCCGTGATCATCTTTCTAAAGGAGGACAGATACATGGTCTGACTGCATCCAGAACACCCAGTACACCGTTGATGGGGGTGGTTAAGAAGCCTGTCAAAGTCGAGGGCCTGAATCGTCCGAATCGTCAAATACCTTCCTGGAAAAGGACGCCTTACTTCTCTCGTCCTTCTGGCTTCTTCTCCTTCTTCAAAGTCAGCGCCTCTCCTCTGTGCTCTGCGATGTCATCTACTGTGTCAGAGACAGATTGTGTGTGAGATGTCGGTAACGAGGCTTTCGACGTGTCCATACGTGCATGCGCAGGTGGCGCACACACACATTCATCATACACACACTTCAAGTGCAAACGTGCATGCGCAGGTGGACATTCACCATGTACCCATAGGGACATTCACCATATACACATACTCCACGTCCAAACGTGCACGCGCAGGGCGCACACAGACATGCATCATGTACACACACTTCAAGTGCAAACGTGCAGGCGCAGGTGTCCACAGACAGACATTCATTACACACACACACTTCACGTCCAAACGAGCATTTGCCAGTGTGCGCACAGAGACAATCATTATATACACACACACTTGAAGTCCAAACGTGCATGCGCAAGTGTGCGCGCATAGAGACATTCATCATATGCACTCACTCCAAGTCGGCACGTGTATACGCAGGTGTGCGCACACAGACATTCATCATTTACAAACACCCCAAGTCCAAACGCGCATGCGCAGGTGTGCGCATAGAGACGTTCATCTCAGACGCACTGCAACTCGACGCGTGCATGCGCCATATACACAGTGCAAGTCCAAATGTGCATGCGCAGTGTGCGCACACAGACATTCATCAGATACACACACCCCAAGTCCAAACGTGCATGCGCAGTGTGCGCACACAGGCATTCATCAGATTCGACTTGGAGTGTGTGTATATAAAGAATATCTCTGTCCGTACACCTGCGCATACACGCGTCGAGTTGGGAGAACACGCGTCGAGTTGGGAGTGTGCATATTAAGAATATCTCTGTGCGCGCACCTGCACATATATAATATATATATGCAGGGGGTGGTACTTGCATGGATGCATCGTGTAGGTGTGTGTGTGTGTGTACCCTCTGTGCGTGCGCGTATGTGTAGATTGGTGAGGTACGCTAATTAAGAACATGAGGATAGATGGTTATGCCTATATTTATCCATTTCCTACATCCACTCACTCGACTCGCCGTCAACGCTTTGTATACATGAACTTCTCAGTCGCAGTGTTTTCGTACCATATCTTCGTGTCTTCTCATGAACAGCGGGCGACCATGCGTAAAAAGAAAGGAAGGCGTACAGCAGGCACATGTATAAAAAGAGGAGGCCATCCGTACACGTAAGAAAGATCACACATAAAAGCACATACACATTGTCCATCACGCAAGCACACCCTTTTCGTGAACCACACACGTGCGATAGATGGCCATGCATTGTGATTGACAGCAAACACATCTATGCATAAAACGATGCCGTATGTCATTTCATAAATAAGAGAGACGGGCCAACACACCATGCCCGCCGACACAACAGATGCACAGCACAGCGCTCTGCTCTCACCAGAAAAAGAAGAAGCCTGTATATATATGGGCGGCTCCCAGTCGGCTCCCTGTTAGAAAAATAAGCCCATCACTGGCACTCATTCCTTGCAATGCTTCCGTTTCATCACAGCTCCCCTTCTACCACACACGTCTCAACTTGTCTCGAGTGATACGACCACCAGTTGTTGCCGAGATTCGCCCAATATTGGGCCAGCGAGTGGTCCCTCTTTGCCCCTTCAAAGTTCCACTTCACATTGAACCACCAAAATCTCGTCATGCTGTCCTCATGCTTCTGGAAGAAGAGCACCTTGTCCTCATACAGCTTGATGACATCGCCCACATGCTTGTACCGGATCAGTGGCCCTGAAGTTACCGGATCACCATGAACAGCCACTCGGACATGCTCTAGGTTGGGCGTCATGTGGAAGGCATCTTTCCATGCTTGGTTGCCGACTCGGGGGCTCGCAAACGAAACCACCCAAATCTGGCGATCCGGCAGGTCTTTCGCCAATTGGTAGCCACAGAGGGTCGCAAGCGCTCCACCAAGACTGTGGCCGGTCACATAGATGTATTCGTATTGATGCTTCTTTAGTTCCTCCCGGACCGCTCGAAGAATCAGGTCATAGACACTTTGGCCGTCGTCTCCTTTGCTGAAAAGCTTCCAGAAGAAGCCCTCGTGCACGTACACACTGTCGACATCACCAGGGAGCGCCTTTTTCGAGATCCTGTAGACACAGGAAGAAGAAAAGGCAGTGTTTGATGCTTATTCATACTCCTTTGTTCAGCTGTGCTTCGCGCACTTGAGATCGACGGCCCAGTCAAACCACGTTTCTGTCCCGCGGAAAACAACGGCCATCGCTGAAGACTTAGCGCTTATGGTGAGGCCGACCTGGAGGTCAGTCCTGCGGAGGTCCCGAAACCTAAGAGCAGGCGCAACTCATGAGATGTAACGTAATAATGAGATGGTGAAACGCAGCCATAACTCATCTTCACGCGTACCAAGTGACTCTGCCCTGGGGGAATGTATCCTTGAGGTAGCGCGCTGCTTCAAGAATATTATATCTGCTGTCTTGAGGCGTTGACTCTGGCATCTGAGGATGAAAAGAAAGCACACGTTGCCACACATAGCGCCATTGTGAGGCTGCCTACCCCGACGCTATCGGTCACAATCGTCTCATTCCCGGCTGTAGAGAAATGGATGTCGGGGGGTTCCAGAAGCTTCCCATAATGGTATACCAGCGTCGAAAGAGCGAGATGCGTCTTGATGCCTCCATAGGAGAAGTGGAAGTGGGGCTTGTCCTCGCCTCTCGCCAGAGAGCTAGCCAGCAACAACAAGAACAAGTAGCCACAGAGAAGGCGCTCCATCCGTCGTTTGGATGACAGAATGACCGTCCAAAAACTCCCGAGGACCGTGTTCGAAAATCCGATACAGGAGTGTGAGAGGACACGAATCTTTGAAGATCTGGGACTCTTGAAAGAAAAGGGCAGCAGCAGCGGTTTCAGGAAGCACCCTAGGCGGCCTGACGGCCCAGTTCCATGTTTGTCCATCCCAGCATGCAACATGCACCCCAACATGCAACCCGGACACGCAACACGCAGCACGCAGAGGGCAGATGCAGCAAACAGGTGGATATGCAATGCGCTGCGAACGACGGCAACATACGAGCGAGCAGGCACATACCGTCACACGCACGCCGCCCCAGCACGCGGCTGGAAGGGGCAGCCCGAAGGCGACGTGCGTGCTGCACCATGACTCCATACGTACATACCGCCCATCCCCAGCTGGCCAGCCAGTGCAGATCGACCAGTCACACACAAATATGCCCTTGACACAAACACACGCGGGGAGATGAGGGTGTCCGAAAGTGGGGCGCACCGCCGCTCCAGTCTCCACGGCGGAGAGGGGGCGGCAGGAGGCCGACTTGCAGACACCCACAAAGCACGCCCGCACACACATCACCGCAGGGAAAACCACAAGGGCAAGACACATACAGCCAGACGCAATCGAATGCCGTGCCGACATACCCACCCCTCGCTACACGCCCTCATACGAATACCGACACCCCAGCCTCAGACGTAGACACCCATACACACACACACCCACACCCACCCACACACACACACACAGAGGCACATTGAAGTCACATGCATGCGAAAGAAAGGCGCGGCACAGTGTGTCGAGCAAAAGGCCTAGTGGGGTGAATAAGCACCCCTCCCCCAGACCTCGTCTCTGGGGAAGGGGCGGATGAATGGTGTGGCGGCCTCACTCTATAACGGTGGCCTGCGAGCCGGCCCCATCTGGTGGCCTCTCGTGTGTGGAAGGCGCTAGTCTCGAGGCAACCATAAAAAAACCAGAAAGGTCCAGGGGCGTAATCAGGAAGCATTTCAGGTAAAGTGTCTGTCTCACGAACTAGCGAACACACTCGATACAACTTATGATTGCGTCCTCATGCAGTGACTTCGTGAATGCGCTCGAGGGCGGCAGAATAAACACGATAACACAATCAGATCCTGGCACAGACGTCTTCGTTCTACATGCCTTGGCCAGGAATGAACTCAGCTTGCTTGATGTACACGCGTCGACTTGGAGCTCGACGTGAAGTATGTCTACGTAGTGAATGTCTCTGCGTGCACACCTGCGCATATACGCGTGGACTTGGAGTGTGTGTATGTATTGAATGTCTTTGTGAGCACGCCTGCGCAGCCACGCGTCGACTTGGAGTGTGTTGTACGCACACCTGGGCATGCACGTGTTGACTTGGAGTGTGTGTATATGATGAATGTCTGTATGCACACCTGCGCATGCACGTGTGGACTTGGGGTGTGTGTACCTGATGAATGTGTGCGCACACCTGCGCATACACGCGTCGACTTGGAGTGTGTGTATATGATGAATGTCGAATGTCTCTGTCTGCACACCTGCGCATACACGTTTGGACGTGGAGTATGTGTGTGTATGATGAATGTCTTTCTGCGCACACGTGCGCATACACGTGTCGACTTGGAGTGTGTGTATATAATAAATGTCTGTGTGTGCGTATATGATGAATGTCTCTGTACGCACACCTGCGCATGCACGCGTCGACTTGGAGTGTGTGTAATGATGAATATCTCTGTGCAGACAGCTGCGCATGCACGCGTCGACTTGGAGTGTGTGTCTGTGATGAATATCTCTGTGCGCATACCTGCGCATGCACGTGTTGACTTGGACACGTGTTGACTTGGAATGTGTGTGTCTATGATGAATGTCTGTGTGCGTACACCTGCGCATGCACGCGTGGACTTGGAGTGTGTGTATATGATGAATACCTGTGTGTGCACACCTGCGCATATACGCGCCAACTTGGATTGTGTGTACATGATGAATGACTCTCTGCGCACACCTGTACGAGCACGTTTCGAAATTTCGACTTGGAGTGTGTGTGTCTATGATGAATGTCTCTGTGCGCACACCTGCGCATACACGTTTGGACTTGGAGGGTGTGCATATATGATGAACGTGTCTATGCGCATATCTGCGCATGCACGTGTGGACTTGGAGTGTGTGTAATGATGAATGTCGCGCATGCAGGTGTTGACTTGGAGTGTGTGTATATGGTGAATGTCTGTCTGCGCACACCTGCGCATGCACGTTTGGACGTGGAGTCTGTGTATATATGATGAATGTCCCTGTGCGCACACCTGCGCATGCACGTTTGAATGTCTCTGTACGCACACCTGCGCATGCACGTGTTGACTTGGAGTGTGTGTATATGATGAATGTCTCTGTGCGCACTCCTGCCGTGCACGTGTCGACTTGGAGTGTGTGTATATGATGAATGTCTGTATGCACACCTGCGCATGCACGTGTGGAATTGGGGTGTGTATACCTAATGAATGTGTGCGCACACCTGCGCATACACGCGTCGACTTGGAGTGTGTGTATATGATGAATGTCGAATGTCTCTGTCTGCACACCTGCGCATGCACGCGTCGACTTGGAGTGTGTGTAATGATGAATGTCTGTACGCACATCTGCGCATGCACGCGTCGACTTGGAGTGTGTGTATACATAATGAATGTCTCTGTGCGCACACCTGCGCATGCACGCGTCGACATGTCCGTGTGCGCACACCTGCGCATGCACGCATCGACTTGGAGTGTGTGTGTATGTATGATGAATGTCTGTATGCTCACACCTGCGCATACACGCGTCGACTTGAAGTGCGTGTATACGTCGAACGTCTCTGTGCGCACACCTGCCCATGCACGTGTCGGCTTGGAGTGTGTGTATATGATGAATGTCTGTGTGCGCACACCTGCCGTGCACGTGTCGACTTGGAGTGTGTGTATATGATGTCTGTGTGTGCGCACACCTGCGCATGCACGTTTGAATGTCTCTGTACGCACACCTGCGCATGCACGCGTCGACTTGGAGTGTGTTTAATGATAAATGTCTCTGCACGCGTCGACCTGGAGTGTGTATAATGATGAATGTCTGTACGCACACCTGCGCATGCACGTGTTGACTTGGAGTGTGTGTATATGATGAATGTATCTGTGCGCACTGCTGTCCTGCACGTGTCGACTTGGAGTGTGTGTATATGATGAATGTCTGTGCGCACACCTGTGCATACACGTTTGGACGTGGCGTCTGTGTATATGATGAATGTATGGGTGAGCACCCTTGCGCATGCACTTTTGGACTTGAGGTGTGTTTACCTGATGAATGTGTCCGCACACTTGCGCGTGCACGCTTGGACTTGGAGTGTGTGTATATGCTGAACGTCTCTGTGCGCACACCTGTGCATGCGACCTGCGTATGCAAGTCGGTAAGACAAAGAGAGACAGGCATGCCACCACTCGCATATGTAAGAATGCACGATTCAGCACCTCCGAAAGTCAGAGGACTCCCTACAACAATGTCCGTGATCCCTGCCGAAACGCGGACGCATCGTATGGCCGTCTCTGTCTCGGGGTTTTGTGCTTCCAGCGTGCCAAGTGCCTCCCTGAGCGTGCCGACCCCAGAATCAGCTCCGCTCGTGACGGTCATCGTGGAAGCACAGGACGGCGATAAGAAGTCAGAGGTACCAAACAGCGCCTTGAAGAAATCCTCATTTGTATGTGACGACACAACACAGATGACATCAATGAATCCTCTGTGATTCACTCACATGGCCCGAAGGTGAAGGCTCTCTCGTGGCGAATGGCGAGCAAAAGTAAGAAGAGGGCCCACACCATGATCTTCACGGCTCCGATGCTTATCTCCTTGTGCGTGTTCAAAACCTCACGCCCCCGAAGGCCCCCAACAGGCTCGCAAGGGGAGACATCCTCGCGCAGCCCTTTTTCTCCAACAAATGTGCACACATACCCGCTGAATTATTGGGATGCATCCATAGAGACACCGACAAAACCACAGCGCGTGTCTGTCACGCGTCATTGTGTGTGTCAGACCCGTTGTGGGCCAATTTGTTGAATCACTTCAATCGATATATGATGAATGTCTCTGTGTGTGTATATGATGAATGTCTCTTTGTATAGGTGTGGAAATACGTTAACTCATAGCGCAACGGCAGGCAGAGTCTGTCGGTCTCTCATGAAAGGAACTGCGTCAATCGACCAACCCTCAATCATGCGACAAACATGCCAGCACCATCCTCAGCGCCCGCCTGGCGTATCTTCCAGCGGCGCCGCCCACCACGCACACACATACTCGCACTACGCGCCAACGCAACAGACAGACGGGCACGAACCCACCCCATCACGTGGCCATACGACTTGTCTGCCCACGCAGCCTTGGTGCGCAGCTTCTCAACCAGGCGGCTGAAAAAACCATTGGCCTCTCTGCCCCACACACCATCCACCGTGTCTCTTTGTATACGATGAATGTCTCTGTACGCACACCTGCGCATGCACGTTTGGACGTGGAGTCTGAGTATATGATGAATGTCTGTATGCGCACACCTATGCATGCACGGTTGGACTTGGAGTGTGAGTATATGATAAACGTCTCTGTGCGCACACCTGCGCATGCACACGCCGACTTGGAGTGTGTGTGTATATGATGGTGATGGAGCCCGCTTGAAATGCGATTAATTGCTCGCAAAGAGAAGATCACGAAAACTCACCCAGCGCACTTTTCCGTTAGGGCCTTCCGTACACCTGCCTGCGTTCGGTACATGTAGCCAATCTTTCGAAGCGCGACATTCTAATGAAGGCGTGGTTGCTATTGTCGCTGTTGTCTGCGGCATTGGGGGCACTGCCAGCCAGCGGCGAAGACTTCGTGCAGAAATCACGCAGACTTATCAAAGAGGCCGGAGGTCAGTGAGCAGGGAACGATGCGACCAACACATGCATGCGCAGGTGTGCGCACAGAGACACTCATCATATACACACACTCCAAGTCGATGCGTGCCAATCATCATATACACACTCCAAATCGACGCGTGCATGCGCAGGTGTGCGCACAGAGACATTGATCATAAACACACACTCCAAGTCGACGCGTTTATGCGCAGGTGTGC